TTTCTTGTTTTGAGTTATTTCTTCTACTTGTTCTTCAGAACTATTAATTTGGATTTCATCGATGAGTACATACTCTTCTTCAACGAATCTATTACATTTTTTCATTTGTAAATGATGGCTTCCCCCCTCCCCCCGCCCCAGCATTTGGTGGTTATTGTCGATTTTGTTGTTGCTGCCTTTTTCCGTACTTAGATTTCTGTAAGCGCTCTTCTACTTTTTTGTTTGGGTTCAAGTTCTCCTCTTCTATCGCCATTGCTCATTTTCATGAGCAGCTTCCTAATTTGTTTGTCCTGCCTTGCATCCTATTCTACTTCTTGCCTCTTGGGTGCCATTAAGCATGTTGTGGCTTTCCCGGGGTGCTTTAGTAAGTCCTATTAGACTCTAGAGACAAATCTTTCTCCTCCCTGTTTCCTTGCCTGGCACTCTCACAATATCGGAGTGGAGACAATGCATCTGCTTGGGTTCCCCAGCTCCTGAGGGACCAAGAGACAAATCTTTCTCCTCCCTGTTTCCTTGCCTGGCACTCTCACAATATCAGAGTGGAGACAATGCATCTGCTTGGGTTCCCCAGCTCCTGAGGGACCAAGGACACCAGCTGCTCCCATAAGGCAACCTTCACTCCCGGAAGGACTGTGGAGAGGGAGGTCAGCCTCTGTGGTGCCACGAAGTCACAGCTTTCTTTCTGATCTTCACCCCAGGGCTGCACCCCGATTCTGAGCTCTCATCTGACCCAAAGGGAAAAACTGCCCACATCAGCTTTGTCCTTCAGGGCCCTGTAGAATTCTAGATCTCCCTTGCACCCTAGATCACCGCTCGGCTCAGAGGAGGTAAGGAGTTGGCTAGGGGATGGGCAGATGAGGCATTATTCAATACCCCATCGGGCCGGAATCCTGGACACATATTTACAGGAAAACCTGGACAACTCCTCTACCGTGCTTTTGTTTCACAAAAGGGGGTTATCCTTGGTAAGGAAGAGTATTTGTAGAAAAGATGGACTCAGGAGGCAGCCCATTAAGGAGGTACAGCAGTGAAAAATCAGGTTCTGTGGGATCTACTACACTTGAACTGGTCTTAGACCAGCAATGGGATGAGGGGAGAAGCCGAAGCCATGTTTATGAGAGCTGGGGGCAGGGGTGCTACTGGCAATGACAAGCAGGGAGAGAAGGCAAATCCCAGAGCAGCAGTAAGGAAGAAGGAGAGTTTCTGGGGCCGGAAGCAAGCTGTCAGGGAAGACTTGCACTGAGCCACACTTAGACATCAACGAGGGCCTATCTTTGTCAACCTGCCCTCCTGCTTCCCTTTCCTACTTTGCAACTTTATGTTCTGTTTTGATGTCAGGTATGTATAAATACAGACATAATGTTATCTGTTGTTCAAATTTAAAAACGGATAACCTTCTTCCCCATTGCCATTCTATAAATGAAGAGTAAATGGTGGTCTTTTCATTTTAAAATTCTGCAATTCACCACCCAACAGCAATGACTGACTGACTGGTAAATGTTTTTGGGTGAAGACCGTCTCAGAGTTGTTCTTTTCAGGCTCATGGTTCTGGGGAACAAAAGCGTTCTGACTTCCAGACATCACCTTGTTTCAAAAATCACCCTCATGGCCAACATTCCTTGTTGGAGTTGATAAGCATTTTCGTTTGGTTAAGGACACTACAAACAATGTATATAGTGCAGAGAAAAAAAAAAAAGATCTCTTATTTTATCACTTCTCTAAAACTGTGGGATGATCTTCTGCAGCTGTTTCGTGAGAAATGTGTCTTAGACCTGACAGGATAAATTCTCTTCAAAGATGAATCAAAGAAAATGGTATCCAAGAATGCAAAACAAGCCATTGTTACCCTAACCCCATCACACCTACAGAGAGTTCCACAACTGCTAAAAGAACAACTATTTCCATCACCTAATAGACCACATGAAGAGACTGAAAAAAAGAGAGAGAGACAGAGAGACCTTAGTGAGATCCAGTCAGATTACACATTATTGTGAAAACGAAATCATCTCCAGCTTTATGGCATCTAAATAGAACATGTAATTAACGAGAGTCACCTGCCAGTCAGGAAAGTCACAAAAAGATGATTAAAATCAAGTTTGATGACAGGCCACAAAATTGGTCAAGAAACATAAAAACATGGTGTTTCTAGATTTGAATTCTCCACGTAATTGCATTAAGAAGGGTCTCTACTTAGCCCTTCCTCTGGCTGGAGCGGCTTTTCCCGTGTCATTCAAAGAATCAGTGGATGGAGAATTGACAAGTTGTTTTAAAACTCCATGGACAAGCTAAATGAGCATGATTCTTTGGAATTGTTTCAAAGATCTCTGGCTATCGTAATATTTTTTCATCTTTCATTTTTATTATGTGCATGATGTCAGGAGCTGTGGCAGGAAGCACATTTTGTCAATTAAATAATTAATCCCACAGCATAATAGTCAGTGAGGAAAAATTGACATTTGTCAGGTTCAAAGAAAATGAAAGCCTGGGAGGATTTTGCATTAGGCTTGCTAGAGAAAAACATAATCCGATCGCAGACTCTCCTTAGTCATTGCTCTGCTACATTTACTGCTCCTGCCATACACATTCCCTGTATCAAACCACCGGAGAGACAAAGTATCTGCAACATCACCCTCTCCCTCAACCTCACCCCACCTGGTCACAAAGAATCCTATCAATTTTATTTCCTAAAGATGTCTCCCCATTTCTCTCTATCCACACCAGCCAAACTGGCCAAATTGACACCGCTCAAGCAAAGGGCGATTCTTACACGGAATTGCCCGTTTTCTGCTGTGGTCCCTGCCCAGAGGTTGGAAGCCGAGTGCTAGGGGTGGACCGGCCTGGGTTCGAGTCCCAGCTCAGCTGTGGCCAGCCGTGGGATGTGAGACCTCTCCATCTGGGAGAGAAGGGCGCTACTGGGACCCCCCCCCCCAACCACTGCCCACAGATACCCCGTGACTGGGAGGGTTAGCTGATTGTGCACATAACCTGATTAGCGCCCTGACTGGAGCCTACTAAGGAATCAGCGCATGTTGGCTATAAACAGCAGTACATTCCATTTATGTTTTTAATATGGCCTGATTTATGGACATGTCAGGTGGACTGCAGCACTGTCACACTCTTGCTTTTCCTTTCTCTTCTGCCTTGAAACCTCTTCTCCTTCCTCCATTCAGCGGCTCCTGACAAGGGGCCTCCCTCTGCTCCTTCCTCACTCTGTCTTTCCTCTGCCCCCTTTCTTTCTCCCCTCCTTGGCTGGTGAGAAGCTGAGTAATCGTACTCTTTGGTCCCCTAAGAGCTTCGGTTCCAGGGTTCCCACAGATGGTACCACCATGTCATCCACAACAGTCTGCACTGGATTAGCGCTGCCTAGGAGGTGAAAATTTCAGCTCGCTATTTTTAACCCGTTTAAGCATCCTCTTTGCTGCCAAAACTAAATGCTTGCTTGGGGTGGAGATGAGCCTCCTCCACGCATCACACCACATGTGCGGGTTTTTTTTTTCCTTTAATGGTATTCCACAATGTATTTTTTTTTTCCAAGAGGGCACTAAGCAGTTGTTTTTGTTACAAAAAGCAAGGCTTCACACTGAGTTCAGATTGCATGCATTTCACAGTACCTATGATTTTTTAAATTGGTGAAAAAATGTGCCCTGATAATCTATGTCAGCTGTGTAGACAATATGAAAGAAAACAACTGGGTTGGAAATTATAAGACATTGTACAATGACTTAAAGTCCCTTGACTGACCCAGAGAAGTTATCTCAAACATATGTTTTAGATCTTCCCTTAAAAACTGGATTAAAAAATGTTAAGCTACTTTGTCCCCTTTCATAAACTATGATACTTATAATATTCGTAAGACATGCTTTAGGGGAAAAAAAAATCTCTCTTTAGCAAATCAAATGAGTCTTCTTTGAGGTAAACTGGTTTGGGTGAGTGAACACTGTTTCAATCTAGTTAGGATGGCTCTTTCCACAAGGTAGAGAAGAAAAGAACCATGGCAAATTTCCAAACTTTTGAATGATTTATTGCTTTATTATTTTTCTTAAATTTGTTCCTGCTCAATATCAAACTGTTAGTCACACTGTTTGTAAGGTGATTGGAAAAGAATGAAGATATTCTTTACATTTGAAGTTTAATTTGTTTTTCCTCATTTCCTGATTAAATTAGCTAAGGGATGCTAAGTTCTATGCAAATTGACTAAGCAATACAAATGTAAGAGGATTTCATTTTTATTAGGCGTAATCTTGCCCCCATCTCAAAAATGTATTAGAAGAAACAAAATAGAACTACAGATGCCAAGTTTAAAATAAGCTATTGTCTGAAAGCGTGGAAATTGGTAGGTTTAAGATTGTGAAGTAGTTATAGAAGTCATTATGCCACGGGTAGAATATGCAGGCAGCAAACAGAGCATAAAAATGTTCAACAAATACATGCGAATGACCAAATCGTCATGGATTATATTATGAGAAGCAAGGATGTTTTAGGTGTAACTGTAACGTTCTAGATTGCCTGCCAGAGAGAAAACTGAACCCTCCCATAGCAGGTTCTTGTCTTTACAGAGAGGTTGCGTGGATCATGAGATTATTCAGAATAAGGATTCTTACTTTCTAATGAGGGTAACAGGGCTTTTCTTACCACTGTTCCTTTTCCCTCGCATCAGTTCTAACTGTAGAAACAATGCCTGTGAGCACCTTCATGAGACAGTGAGGTAGCCCAAGAGACGTGGGTGTCCAGTTTATGCACACACAGTGGCCATGTGCAGAATCGCAAAGCTCACACACAAACTGTGTACAGTGATTCTCTACACGTGTCAGTCCCCTTATCTGGAGTCAGTGTGCCTGTAGGTGGCTTTCTACCTTTACTCTGGAATACGATATGACCATGTCATATCTCAAAAATCTGAATCAGAGTGATAGGCATCAAACTTGGAGGGGGGAGAAAAAGTGACACCTACAAGTTGGCACCATTTGAGCGCGCCATGTTTTATGAGAACCATGACCTACCTTGTCTGGTGTATTCGTCTGCCTCTCTGTGAACCAAATCCTTTACTCTGTTTCCGTAAAGCAGCCGTGAGGAATCATGATCAAAAGCTTTCAAGGTTTCACTGGAACTGTAAGACTTCTGTGTAGGTACCCTACACTCTTCATTGTCCGCTGAGGAATTTGTATACCGCCGTTCTTTCTCTCGTCTGCTCTTGGTCAGCGAGCAGTAAGGCCTACGTTCTTTCACATCCATACTTCATTCCTTCTGGGCGCACATCAGTCCTGCTTGGCACAAATTACACTCAGGGTTCAACTTTCATTGGCCTCTCTGTGAAGATAAAAGGTTTGCATAATGTCAGCATAACATTCATCCAAAAACAGACTGCCTTACATCCTTCTCAATCTGGAAAACGGTGGAAAGTAATATTATCGCCTATCTAGAAAACTTGCTTTCAACAACAAAAAAAATGAAAATTTGTGAAATCACTGTAAAATATCCAGTATTACCAGGAAGTGAGGCATACTTTCTGTTACTGAGAGTTATGGATGCTTGTTTAAGGTATTAGTATTATAACTGATTTTTCACATTAATAAAAAAAATTAAGCCAAGATCAAATTTCACTACAGAAGCCAGCTCAAAGTTGGCCTCAATATGTTTGTTAAATTTTCCACAATGGGACAATTTTCTCTCACAGCATTTTCTCCATTCACAAATAAATTCCCTTTCTTTTTCTTACAAAAATTATACTATTTTATTTCTTTTGATTTTTTTTAAAGATTTTATTTATTTATTTGACAGAGAGAGACACAGCGAGAGAGGGAACACAAGCAGGGGGAGTGGGAGAGGGAGAAGCAGGCTTCCCGCTGAGCAGGGAGCCCGATGCGGGGCTCGATCCCAGGACCCCGGGATCGTGACCCGAGCCGAAGGCAGACGCTCAACAACTGAGCCACCCAGGCGCCCCATCTTTTGATTTTTTTTTAAGGGCAGGAGCAAATTGGGAGCTTCTTGAAAGTGAAATTTTGTCAAATACATTGAACATTTTATTAGTTTTTGCAAAGACTTTTTCTTCTGTTGGCACAATTTTCATGTTTTAAGGACCTAAAGGTCTTCAACCATGGAAAAAGCAGATCCTTCTCTCCTACTCCTCTCCTAAAAGTGCATTTTCCTCTCTAGAAAATGAATTTAATCTGTGCTATCCCGGGAGTGCCTGGGTAGCTCAGTCAGTTAAGTGTCGGCCTTGGCCTCAGGTCATGATCCCAGGGTCGTGGGATCGAGTCCCGCATGGGGCTCCCTGCTCAGCAGAGAGTCTGCTTCTCTGCCTCCCCCTACTCCCTGCCTCCCTGCGTGCGGGTGTGTGTGCTCTCTCTCTCAAATAAATACATAAAATCTTTAAAAAAAAAGTGCTATTCTTATTTTAAGGCAATTCAAGTGGCTAATTTGATGGTGTAGTTTTTGCAACTGCCAGTAGCAAAATTAAGTTAGAAGGAGCAAGGCGAATTATGTTTCTTTGCTTAGCAACTGTTTTTTCCTGATTTTGCTCAATGGACAGGGGTAAAAGTGACTGGGCCTAAGTAGGGATGGCTGCCCAGGGCTAATCAGCATTTCACTTTTTAAGTTTTTTAAAAGTTTATTTATTTATTTAAGTAATCTCTACACCCCATGTGAGGCTGGAACTCAAGGCCCTGAGATCAAGAGTCACTCTCCTCTGACAGAGCCCCCAGGCATGCCTAATCTGCATTTTAAATGATCCTCTGTTGTCTTTACTTTCTCATTTGATCTTTCTCTTAAATCTGAAGGTCCCCAAAGGCCTTCTGTGTTTGCTCCCACTCCACTCCTTCTTTCCTAAATTCACTTTTTATTGGAGTGATTCCATAATCAACTTGAAACAAATGATTTCTGGTGGCCCCAGATCTTCTCTTGGTTCCACATCCTTAGGGCTGTGACTTCTTAGATATTTTCTCCCATGGAGAATCCCTTTCCCAAGGAATCTCTCCCTCTCTCTTGATCTTTGGCTATCATTATACACATCACACCTCTCTTTAAAGTGCTTTCAACATGGCACTGTGGTGCTGACTCTCTCACATCGGCTCAGTTTACATCTATGCTGTCAACAACCCTCTGTTCTGTTTGAGCAACATTGTGACTCCTCTACCTTTCACTTTCTAACTTCTGCCTTCCATACAGCTCTAAGGAGAGTGGTGAAATTCTGAGCTGGAATGATCACAGAGTTCCAGAGCCCATGCTTGGAAAATCTGGATGGCTCCTCTTGCTATCTCTTGAACCAAATTGTATCTTCTCCTATCCCTACTGCCCATGAAGGGTTATTTCACATGGGCTTCCACATTTCCCTGGTACCGAACTGAGCTGGGCTGTTAAAAGAAGTTGCTATTATTTACCTTGGCTGTTGAAACACATCTTGACTTCCCTACCGTTTTCTGATTTTCCATGAATCTGATTAAATAAAAAAAAATTACATTTTTTCACTGACCCCTTCTGATTCATTACCCCATTATTCTCTTTACAAATTCTTCCAAAAGCTCTTAATAGAAATTGAATTTCTCTTATTGCAGCTCTCCTTTGAGTTTAAGATAATAAATAATTTCAAGATACTGTTAACGGGACATATTTTTATATGACATGTTTAAAATAACACACCAATTCACTCTCTTTATTCCAGGGAAAACAAAGGTTACTTTAGGTCAATATTTATTGAATGACTATTATGTATTCGGCTCTCTTCCACATACTGAAGACATACCATTAAATAAAACAATGTCCCTGCCCTCATGGAGCCTACCTTTTGTGGGGGGGAATCAGGTACATTCTTTCTAATAGAGTGAATGTGTATGTCTGAGTTCAAGAAAAATCTTGTTTCCATAGTGATCTCAATCTCTTTGGAAAAAAGGCTGTATTAACTCTCATAACTAAATGATCATCAAAAAGCTTTCAACTGGCCAGATAAATATCATAATTCATGCACTTTTAGTAACAGAACTTTGGGATTTGAAATTATTACAAAAGTTCCAGTTCTTACCTTGAGTTGACATCTATTTTAAAATAAGTGCTGCTATATATACACATATGTATGCATTTTTATGCTTTAAAAATGGACTGACTGAAGCAAGAGGAAATTGTTTCTTTGTTTTGTTTTGTTTTTTTCTCCACTGCAATTTTGCTTCAGCTAGTTAGACCAGGCACTGGTAAACTCCAGTACATCAGCCAAATCTGACCCATCACCTGTTTCTGTAAATAAAGCTTTATTGGGACACAGCACATGTATTTATTTACATATTGTCCTTGGCTGTGTTCATGCTACAAAGACAGAGTTGAATGGTTGCAACAGAGACTGTAGTGAACTGAATTGTGTTTCCCAAAAAGATACATTGAAGTTTTAACCCTTAATACCTGTCTGTGAATGAGACCTTATGGTCTTTGTAGTGGCAATCAAGTTAAGATGAGGTTATATTGGATTAGGGTGGGTCCTAAATCTAATGACTGCTGTCTTTCTAAGAGATGGGAGAAGGAGATTTGGATACAGAGATGTACAGACAAACAGGAGAGTAGACCATGTGAGGACAGAGATGGGGGTTGAGTGATGCAGTTAAAAGCCAAGGAACACCCAGGGTTGCGAGCCAATGGCAGAAGCTAGGAGAAAGGCATGGAGCAGATTCTTCCCAAGAACTTCAGAGAAAGCATGGCACTGCCCATACCTTCATTTTCATACTTCTTGCCTCCAGAACTGAAAAAATAAACTTCTGTTGTTTTCAGCCACTGAGTTTGTGGCAGTTTGTTACCACAGTCCTAGGAAACCAATGTAGAGACCTGACGGCCTGCAAAGTTTCAACTATTTACTGTCTGGCTCTGACAGAAAAAAATGATCATTCATATTTCCATTCTGTCTTTAACTGGATCTCAGAATGCAAAATGTGTTCTCTATGATACAACCCATGATACAATATGACGATCTTGCAAATTAGATAATAAGCTCTTTAACGTGGTAATACAAATATATATCATCAGTAGTAAAGATGCATCCCTATGCATCTTTATAAACCAATGTTTATAAATCAATAACAATAAAATGTTAATAAATGAGGAATAAAAAGACAATTTTAGGTATTCTTGAGCTTTATAGAATATCTCTAGCACCAAATATATGACTTTTCTTTATTTGTGAAGCAATTTTGAAGTGCCATGATAAATCGAGATATAGTATTCAAATATACCATCAAAGACAAAGACATTTTGATCTTAGCAATTCCAAACAATAAAAAGTCTTTTGCATCTGTCTCTCCATTTTTGTACATAGTTCAAACTCTTCAAGGATTTAATCTACACTGTAATGTTTGCAACCACTGTAATGCTTCTGATGGAAGTCAATGAGTTCAATATGACTTCAAAAGGCAGTTTTCTGCATTATCTTCTGCACTCACAGCTAAGGATTTGAAGGTTAAGAAATGCAGCTGCTTAAGTAGGGCTAAATTGTTGAAGCACTTTGATGGTGATTGCACAGTCCTACACAGGAAAAGCATCACTGTGCACATATTCCACATAAAGCATTTAATGAACAGGATCTTAGCTGCAACGGTGGGCAAGGCATTTGAAAAAATAAGGAAAAACTATTAGAAATAAAGTTGACTAAAAAGTTCTGATTCAACTTGCTACAGCATGTATATAACAATATCAAACTGATCAAACTCAGTTATTAACCACAGCACACTTCTGGAAAACATAGCTGGTGTTAAAGGAAATTCCATTATTGGGTTATTAATTTTTTCTCAATTTTTTCTGCAAAGTATTTGATTGACTAAATGAAGAGGCAGGACACCAGATTTAGGGTAATCATATCATCTATTTCAGATATATTAGTTAAACCTGCTTTGGAACTTGGCCACAGAACTTAGCAACAGTCTTATACTGTTTCATAACACGTTCCTAATTCAAAAGAAACATTTTTTTAATTGTAGTTTTAGCATGTAATCTGATTTTAATTGGACTTAGTATATCTTTAAAACCCTTCAGCCAATGATTACAATGTATCAGGCTTATAACAAACATCCCTAGAATCATCTGTACTTCAAAAAGTTCAATGAGCTTATGTGTCTATCTAGCAACTGAAATAAAAACAAATATTCAAGCCCAAAGGATTAAGTAACCTGTTGGTCAAATTCACTCATGCTCCCACTGTTAGTTATTTTCTGTAAGAATTACAAATTCCTGAATGTCACTTTGAATATCTTCTGCACAGATTGTCCTACTACATTTATAATAGTTTGAAAAAGCTCACTCAAAAGAATAAGTGGACTTCAGAAAAACACTAA